CACCATCCAGTCTCCCACCACCATAAATTTTTCAATCCACCAATACTCTGCCATCAATCAGCCAAAGGCGCCGCTCGACACCACCATATTCTTTTGAAGAAAATATGCCTTCATTGGCCCTTCCCGCAGTCCATGACACTATAAGCACAATATTCCACCTCCTCTATTAAAACCATATTTTCACAGAGTCCTTGCTTCATTGTAACGACCCGACTTGTCATTTTAAAAATTTACGTCCCGTTCAATGGCTTAAGGTCTCGAATAGTTTAGCAATATGTATTATGACCCGCGGGTGTAGTCGAGTTTGATTTACTGAAGATTCAGAATTTAATTAAAAGAACAATCCTTATTTAGAAGCTTAAATGGAAAGAGTTGATCAGAGAGTTGAATTTTGAGCAAACTACCTTGGAATAGAATTTTGATGATGTCAATAGCTTTGTATGGTGATTTCGAACTTCGACGTATGTCCGGATTCAGATTTGGAAGTCCGTAGGACAATTCGACGCATTTTGGAGATAGTTGAAAAATATAAGATTTTGGAAAATCCTACCGAAGGATGAATTTTTGATAACGAGGTCGGATTTCGATTTCGGAAATAGAAATAGATCCATTACGTCAATTATGACTTGTGTGCGAAATTTGAAGTCATTTCGGATTAATTTGATACGTTTCGGCGCAAAATATAGAAGTTGGAAGATTTGAAATTCAAAATTTGATTCGACGCGTGATTCATAATTTCGGTGTTGTGTGATGTAATTTGAAACCCCGAGTAGGTCCGTGTTGTGTTACGAGACTTATTGGTAAATTCAGACGAGGTCCCGGGTAGCTCGGATGAGTTTCGGACGAGGTTTGGATCGAATTTGGACTTGTTGAAAATGCTGGGATTTCTGTTGTTTCTGGGCAGACCTGTTGGGATCGCACCTGCGGAAATTTGGGCGCAGGTGCGACAATACCGAAGTGAGGGTACCATCGCAGATGTGGCCTGGGCAGGACTGGGGAAAGGTCACAAGTGCGATGCATTTTCCGCACCTGTGTGACCGCAGAAGCGGAAATCTTCCACTGGTGCGAAGGGCCTCTGGTCAGTGGACTTCCGCAGAAGCAGATTTTTGTTCGCAAAAGCGGCTCCGCAAATGAGGCAACGCGTCCGCGGATGCGAAACTGGGCAGAAATATTTAAGGACCAAAAATGAACATTTTGCCATTTTCGATTGAGATTTTGGAGCTCGGATTTTGGGCGATTTTGGAGGAGTTCTTCAAGACTTTGACTTGGGTAAGTGTTCTATATCCTAAAGTGTTTATATTTCATAAATCTATGATTATATTCATCATTTAATTAGGATTTTAAATGTAAGAAATCAAGATTTTTACAAAATCTTCCAAAAACTAAAATTTAAGATTTGGAGGCCGAGTTGTTATTGAAATTTGATAAAATTGGTATAGTTGACATCGTATCAGAATGCATGTTCGAATTTCATGAAAATGTCGGGTTCCGAGGGGCGGGCCTCGCGTTGACTTTTGTTGACCTTTTGGAATAAATTTTTAAGTCGACGTATTATTATCCGGAATTGTTTCCGATGCATTTTAATGAAGTTATACAATTAATTTGGATAGATTTGAGCGGTCTGGAAGTCAATTTAAGCAAGAAGGAGATTTTGGAATATCGGCATAACTTCAAAAAGGTAAGTGTCTTGCTTAACCTCGAGTGGGGAAAATACCTCTTAGGCATTGAGTATTATGTGCAAATTGTGTAATTGAAAACCATGTACGCGAGGTGACGAGTACGTACTTGGTTTATATGTGCAAATTTCGTTGATTAAAATCCTTAGACGCCCTTATGTATGAAGTTGGAAATTATTGGCACTTATTAAATCCTCTATTTGTCATGCCTAGATCCTTGTTTGTTGAAATTATTTTTCTATGATGATTTGGTGTGATTGCCACCTTGAATTTATATGAAATATTATTTTGTTGAATTTTTCACTCCCGGATATTTTTGTTAAGATTTTGTGCATATTATGGTCGAGCAATGGGCTCTTTATTGTGAAAAATGATGTATTGTTGATTTCTGTGGCAAATTGAAATATTTGAGCACTCGATGTGAAATTTGTGATATGTTGTAATATTTGAGCACTTGATGAGCCATTTGTGATATATGAGCACTTGATGTGTATTTGTTGAAATCATATTTACTTTGGGACTTCCGAACGGTATTCCGGGAGATCCCCCTACCTTGCATATTTACTTTGGGACTACGGAACGGTATTTCGGGAGATCCTCCTGCCCTGCATATTTACTTTGGGACTACGGAACGGTATTTCGGGAGATCCTCCTGCCCTGCATATTTACTTTGGGACTACAGAATGGTATTCCGGGAGATCCCCCTGTCTTGCATATTTACTTTTGGGACTACGAGGCGGTACCTCGGGAGATCCCCCCAGTCTTGCATATTTACTTTTGGGACTATGAGACGGTACCTCGAGAGTGCCCTTTTGTAGATATTTTTCTATGGGTGCACTTGCCTTTGGATATTTTATTTTTGCGTGATATATAAATTCTTGTGTTCTCCCGTGATGTATTATTTGATTTTATTATGTGTTTTGTATTCCTTGTTGTATTGTGTTGGTTTTGGCTCTTTGTACAAGACTCTGCAGATTTGTGTTTATGGTTTTTACTGATTTTCGAGAATTGAGTTGTTTCGAATAAAATAAATTGCTTTTATATTTTAATTTAATAAATTTTACATCCAAATTAGTAGTCATCGGATGTTTCATTTTAATTGAAATGTCATTTTCTTCTCCCAAATAATTTCTAAAATAAATTCATTCCTTTGTTGATTTCTTACTTGATTTAAAGATTTTAACCTTACTTTAGTGAAAACAAATTGATCCTGCGGATCTTATATATATTGATATTTTGACACGTGAGTTGTCCGTGTGATGGTGATAGAAATATGGGCACGAGGTGCCGTGGAAAAATATGAAAGTGGGCTGAGATCCGTAATTTTTATGATTGTGAAATAAGGTATCACATGGTGACTTTTACTTGAAAATATATTTATTGAAAAATATTATATCATGAAGATTATTATTTGAAAAACATATAGGCGAAAAAATTTATATTTGAAGGACTTGATTAATTGGTTGTACTTGTGTTCCTTATTCGTCTGAGCAATAATTATGATATTCTTGTTGCATTGTTGTTATATCACTGGTTGATTTTGTTGTTATCATTGCAAGTTATTTTTCAGTATTATTTTGTATACTATATTGCACAGGCTATAAGACTAGTGAGTGTCTTGACTGTACCTCGTCTCTACTCCACTGAGGTTAATCTTGATACTTACTAGCTAGCGACCGTGGTGTACTCATACTACACTTCTGCACATTTTTGTGCAGAGCCAGGTATTGGAGGTATCGGACCCAGATAGAGTTAGAGTGTGATCGCAAGGATTCAAGGTAGAGCTGTTTGGTCGTCGCAGTCCCTTGGAGTTTGTTCATTTTATTGTACTGTTAATTTTTAATCAAACAGTATTGTATATTTGGTCCTCATGATCATTTCATGTATTCAGCTAGAGTTCGTGACTCAGTACTGCCAGTCTTGGGTGGTTGTATATTCTTATTCGTTCCGCTGTTAGTTTTGGTTACTTATTTAAATAAATAAAATAGCTTCAAAAATGTAATTAAAATCGGCTTACCTAGTATTAGAGACTAGGTGCCATCACGACGCCTGCGGTGAGATTTTGGGTCGTGACATTCATCATAGAACAAAATCCAACGAACAATCCTACTGCCTCATGTAATCGAAATAAATAGTGAAAAATGCTGAATGTCTAGGATTTTTGGGCCAAAATCTCTTTCATTTTCTTGAGATTTTTTTAATAAATGGGTTTTTTCGAAGAAAGGATGGAAGGCAATAAAGGAGAAAATATAGAAGAAATGGGAGGGGGGAGTTTTCTATGGTGAGATTTTGGAGAAAAAGAAAAAGGGAATAATTTCTCCATCGTTGCGAGAGCTGGTTGTTTGTTTAAGATCTTGACGAAGAAGATGATGTTTGTAATTGAAAAGTTAAAAATGGACATAAGTGGCATCTAGATGAGCGTTCACTTGCCATGTAATCAAAATGATGTGTAACCAGAGGCGGAGCTAGGATGTTAACCTTATGGATTCGGGATTATAATCATTTTAAGTTACTGGATTCTAAATTAATAATTTGTACGTATTCATTGGATTTTTTAATGCAAATACAAGGTTTGAACTAAAGCTACTGGGTTCAGTTAAACCGACAGCCAACATTATGGCTCCGCCACTGTATGTAACAGATACACTTTTGAAAGGTTTAGGTGTGTAAAAATATTTTTGTGATCAATAGGTATGTAACAGGGACTTAGGTACAAGTTCAGGTGACATTTTATGTATTATGCGAAAGAATTACTATTAATCTTGAGGTTATTTATAATCACATAAATATACATGACTTGTTTTCATCCGTAAAATTTTAATTTTTTTTTAAAACTTCGTATTTAATCGAAGATTATCACATAAAATGAGACTAGAGTAAAATAATGAATCGTGCATATAGTAAGTCACTGCGTTCATCACCATCAAGACATCTACCTAGAAATGTTGGAACTATTACTAATTAATTATGAGAGGAACTAAAAACAGTCCTTCCCGTTACTAGCCAAAGAAAAAACAATTGTTGTCCTTTTCGAGCTACGTCTGCAAGTGCCAACCTCATTGAAAGCTCTTGGAAATGTTCTAGAAACCCCCAAGAATCCAACGTACACTCTCCTATTCAGAACTGACACGTGTCAGCATATGCTGCTGCTGACTTCAAATCTATTTCCATCATTACCTTTTTCCGAGTAACTGTATTTCTTTGACTTATGGAGTAATAAACTGTCACGTGTTTTCAAAACAGGCAAACTTAGGTCAAACCTAAAACACCTCTCTTTCTCTCTATATATATATAGTATGTGGAAGCAACAACCCAAGTGTATCATAACCTCGTTCTCATATTTCTCTAAAAGTTTCAAATTTGGTATACAATAAGACATCTTAGTATCTTCATTGTTTTTTCTCCATCAATATTATGAATGCCATGAAAAGAAACAGAGAAGAGGATAGGCAAGTGGAAGCACAAGCCATGGCTAATTGCGCTTTAATGCTTTTGTCTCGCTTAAATGATATTGCTTCATCAAATAATCACAATGAGTTCGAATGCAAGACTTGCAATAAACGTTTTCCATCTTTCCAAGCTCTTGGCGGCCACCGTGCAAGTCATAAACGGCCAAGATTACTTATCGGAGCCGGAGATTTTCTTGTTCAATCCAAAAAGAATAAAATGCATGAGTGTTCTATTTGTGGTATGGAGTTCTCTTTGGGTCAAGCATTAGGCGGCCACATGAGGCGTCACCGTGATGAAATTAATAAAACGTCGACGGCAGCCGGAAAGACGATTATTCCGGTCGCCGGAAAGACGATGATTCCGGTATTGAAGAAGTCAAATAGCAGCAAAAGAATTTTCTGCGTCTTGGACTTGAACTTAACCCCTGATGTAGATGTTGAATTGAAGTTATGGCCGACGGCACCAGTTTTATCTCCTGTTTTGCGAATCTTTATTTAGGATTAGCAGAAGTTGATTTGCTAATCTTTTCGCGTTCTTCCCTCGTATATTTACAACAACAAGAGACCCCGATAGGGTCTGGGATAGTAGTTTGTACGCACACCTTACTCTTGTATATTTTCATAATTCAATTGATTCTTTCACACAACATGGTATCAAAGCATACATTTATTTATGATTGACTTTATTTATGTCTTTAAAATGTTCCCTCACGTGTTGGTTTTTTTTCATGAGATAAGCACGCAGGGGCGGAGGTAGTGTATGATTAACGGGTTCCGGACGAACCAAGTAGTTTTTACTTAAGACTTTATTTTGTATTAGAAAATTTACTAAATATATATAAATATTTAACTGCGAACCCAATGACTAAAAAAGTTATGAGTTCGGTGACAGGTTCGGAATCATAAACTTCAAATTCTAACTCCGCCTCTATATAAGCACCTGATATTGTTTGTCTATATAATGTGACACGGGTCTCAAACTCAAAATCTCTGTCATGTTCCAATATCATGTTAACGTGTGTGATATTTTTTTGGATGGTCAGGCACACTTCCATAGCTTCAAACTAGAAGAGATTTTTCTTTACAACAGTACGGATAACAACAATTAGCAATACTAGAAAAAAGATAAAAAAATCAGAAACAGAATGGGTAAACTGATTGAGAGGGTGGAAAGAGAGAACTCCAGCAGAAAATAGTGAGAACTTAAAAATCAGAAAGTGTGTTTTGCACTGGATTCCTAGCAAGTGCATCACATAAGCTTGTTCTTAATTTATTTTTTATTTTTCACATGATCTTTATTATACACAAGTCAATAACTTCACCTAATCAACTACTACAATACCACATTCGGGAAAAAAGAACTAATACTATGCCTCAGAAATCAGAATATTCTAACTCAACCGCTAACTGAAAATTAATTACTACTGTATTATATCTCTCAGGTAATTGCTTGGAAAGTTGATCACATGCAATCAACTTGCAGGCATTGAAACAACCTAATTGACCCAATAACTGACTGGTTGTATTACCACAACTAAACGGAATTACAACACCCAATTTGCAGTGGAACAAAATAGAGAAAATAGCAGAGAATAGAGTAGGGGATGAGAATAGAATTGCAGAACAATAGAGATGAGAAACAGATCACAAGCAACAGAACAGACTACTCTACTACATTCACTATTAGCTATTTATAACATCTGGTATCCTTCACACCCTGCGCACCTATGCTGCTGCTTCACGTTTTCATCGCCCAGTCCCTATAACGAAATCAGTTAGTCTTTTGGAAGGGACTCTCACGCACTTACTTCTTCTCACAACTTCAATCTCTTGCTGATTAGGCAGGTCCAAGGTGGCATCTGAGGTGTCCACCATGTCATTCTGATGAGTCACAACAATACTCCCGCCCTACAAGGGAACCTTGTCCTCAAGGTTCAGAGAAGAATCAGGGCCAGGGCCAGGGCCAGTCATATTTGTAAGATACAGAGGAGTGATTTGCTCAGCAGGTTCTCCAACACACTGTTTGAGCATTGAAATGTGGAAGACAGGATGAATACGAGCAGCTTCGGGTAACTCTAACTTGTAAGAAACCTCTCCAATGCGTTTAAGAATTTTAAATGGGCCAAAGTAGCGCCTACCCAGTTTTGGATGTTGTTGAAGGCGTACAGTATTCTGACGATAAGGTTTGAGTTTGACATAAACCCAATCACCCACCTGAAAAGTTAACTCCCTTCGACTCTTGTCAGCTAGAATCTTCATGCGATTCTGCGCACGGACGAGATTAGCCTTAAGAAGAGCCAAAACCTCATCTCTGTCCACCAAATAAGCTTCAACCACCTCACTAGGACTGCTGCCCAAGATATATCGTGCCACAGTAGGCGGATCTCGCCCATATAAAGCTCGAAATGGGGTCATCCCTCCCGAGGTATGATAGGAGGTGTTGTACCAGTACTCTGCCCACGGTAACATCGCAACCCATCTACTAGGAGAATCAGCCACAAAACAACGAAGATATTGCTCCACACATTTGTCCAAGGCCTCTGATTGGCCATCCGTCTGGGGATGGTACGCGGTGCTCATAGCTAAGGCAGTGCCTTGCAAACGATTAAGTTCCTGCCAAAAACTATGCAAGAAGCGAGGGTACNGGGGGGGGGGGGGGCGTGGAGTCGAATGATCCCCACTACAAAAGCCTCTGCAACTGATTGTGCAGTGAAGGAAGATGGCAAGGCGATGAAGTGTCCATACTTTGACAGTCGATCCACAACTGTCATGATAGTCGACTTACCCCTCGAACCAGGCAAGCATGTGATAAAATCCATTGCTATATCCTCAAATAATATAGAGGGAATGGGCAGAGGCTGAAGTAGTCCAGCGGGAAGATGGTGAGAATCTTCATTTGTTGGCAGATTTGGCAAGCAGCCACAAAATTCTGAACATCCTTCTTCATGCCCCTCCAATAAAAATTAGAAGCTATTCTATGATAGGTACGTGACACGCCTGCATGACCACCAACTACCGTGACGTGGAACTCATGGAGCAGTGTTTGCCTCAACTGAGAATCAGCGGGAATGACCAATCAACCCCGAAAAAATATGAGACCGTTTCGTAAGGTAAAGCCCGAGTCAGCAATGGTGTTGTCTTGTATGGTATGCTGCAGTGCTATTAACTCAGGGTGTGTCTTGTTTAGTGTCTTGAGCTCACACTCAAGATCATAACCCCGTACAGTTATAGTAAGGAAAACAACCTCAGAATTTCGAGAGAGAGCATCAACAGCTTGGTTTAACTTGCCTAGGCGGTATATGATCAGGAAATCAAATCCTACCAATTTACTCAGCCACTTCTGTTGTTCAGGGGTCTGGATTGTTTGGTTTGTCAAATTCTTGAGGGATTGTTGGTCTGTGTATATGGTTAATCTCCTCCCAAGCAAGTATTGGCACCACTTGCTAACTGCCTGGGTAATTGCAAACATCTCCCTATGATAGGTCGATGCCCCTTGCATCCTATTACTCAACTTTTGGCTAAAATATGCGACTGGATGGCCCCTTTGCGAGAGCACTACCCCAATGCCCTATCCAGAAGCATTTGTCTCTAGTTGAAATTCTTGAGAGAAGTCGGGTAAGGCTAGGACAGGTGTGGTACTGAGTTTGCCTTTGAGAGTGCCGAAAGCGGCTTGAGTAGTTGTTATACAAGCAAAAGAATCCTTTCGCAGTAGGTCTGTGAGGGGTCCAGCAATTGAGGCATAGTGGTAGATGAACCTTCTATAGTACCCTGCAAGTCCAAGGAAGCTACACACTTCTTTTACGGTCTTAGGCTCAGGCCATTGCTGAATTGCTGCAATCTTTGCAGGATCTACACTGAGTCCTTGGTTAGAAATCACATGACCTAGGTAGTCGACTGAGGTTTGGCCAAATTGACATTTGCTCCTTTTTGCTACCAAGTTGTGCTGTCGAAGTAGACCCAACACTCCCTGCAAGTGTGCCAAATGCTCGTCCCATGTGGGGCTATACACAAGAATATCGTAAAAAAAACTAAGACGAAACGACGCAGATATTGTTTAAACGCTTCATTCATCGTGGCTTGAAAAGTAGACGGGGCATTTGATAACCCAAATGGCATTACTAGGAACTCGTAATGCCCTTCGTGCGTCCGAAAGGCTGTCTTCGTGACATCCTCAGGCCTCACTCGAATCTGGTGGTAACCAGCCAGCAAATCAAGTTTGGAGAAATACACAGCTCCATGTAGTTCGTCAAATAACTCATCAATTGTCGGAATAGGAAATCTATCCCGGACAGTGACTGCATTAAGAGCCCTGTAGTCCACGCAAAACCTCCTCGTCCCATCCTTTTTGCGGACTAAAAGTATTGGGGAAGAGAATGGGCTTGTGCTGGTCCTAATCACTCCTTCCTGGAGCATTTCTGTAACTAACTGCTCCATCACCTTCTTCTGGAAGTAAGGATATAGATATGGTTTGACATTAACTGGTTCTGTGCCAGATATCAAATGTATTGCGTGATCTTGGGGTCGGGTTGGTGGCAACCCTTGTGGCTTCTGAAAAACATCTGTAAAGGACTCTAAAAGGGCTTGAAGAGCAGGGTTAACTTGTTCACTCTAAGCTGGTGTTGTGGGTACTATCTGCAAACAATAATAAGAGGAAATTGCATCTGTTGTTGTATATCGTCGAAGGCTATGCAATTGTATTGGTTGAGCCGTTGGCAGAGCCAATCCCTTCCAGATATTAGTAGTTCCCTGGTGGTTAAATTCAAAAGTACGCTCTGCATAATCAGTGATTACCCGTCCTAAAGTAGAAAGTCAAGAAGCTCCGAGAACTACATCTGCTCCATGTAAGTCCAATACATATAGATCAAGGACGAGTTTACACCCTTGTATTGTGAGCGGAACTTGTCGTACCACCCCTTCACACCTAAGACGTTGGCCGCTGCCCACCACTGCGGCAAAATTGGGAATCGACTCGATCGTGAGCTGCAAGAAATTCGCCACACGAGCCTGAACAAAATTATGGCCACTGCCTCCATCCACCAAGATCTGGACCGGTGACCCGTTAACATGGCCAAGGAACCGAAGTGTGGAAGACGAGTGCCCACCGGCTAATGCATGATAAGATATGCCGAGTGTTCCTGCACCTCGAGACACTGCATCTCTTCTGCCAATATATCATCGGAGACGAACAACTCTGGAAAGGTTGGCTCAACATCGGACCCGTCAGTGAAGAGCAACAAATGTGGTGGTGTCTTGCATTTGTGGCCGGCTGTATACTTTTCTTCACAATAGTAGCAAAGGTCGCGCTCCCGGCGGCTCTGAAGCTCGGCATGAGTGAGTCGTTTTAACGGTGGTCGATTAGTTTGGGCAGCTGAATTTGGATACAATAGAGAGGAATTAGGATTGGGTAACAGAGGGTACCCTTATTAGCCAGTGCGGGCCGGGTCGGTCCTTTTTCAGCTAGGATCCGTCGCTCGTGGATATGGGCTTGGTTCAGTGCCTCCTCAAAAGTTTTGGGCTCATGGCTCAACACCGAGTTTTTAATGTCTTCCCTAAGCCCAGAAATAAAGAGCCTCAACATGAGCTTGTCTGATATGTCATCGGTCTCATTAGCAATAGCCTTAAATCTACCTTGTAGCTCTGAGACAGTGGTGACTTGCCGGAGCTTTGCTAGTCG